GAAGGGTCTGATACCGGTTTACTAAAAAGCGAATTTTAAGTAAATTTCATCAGGGGCATCCTATCTGACGAATATTGAATACTTTTTAAAAACAAAGACATTGAACAGAAAAATTTTAGAGGGTGTCAAAATAAATAAAGCACCGCCAGTTTGGGATCAACCATGGCCTAAAACTGATGTTCCATGGAATTGTAAAAAGATTATGCGACACAAATGAATTTTAATTTTACTTGATAGTTGTTAAAGCTTTCAAAATCCATGAGGTTTTTGGTCAAAAGACCAACTGTTAACTAATCAAAAGACGTTACTACAGAACTGTTTGCACGGTTTGGAACCAGAAAAAGTGTCATAAAATTAACTCAAATCTAAATAAGTGAAAATTAAGACGTTTTGTAACACTGATATCTGACCACAAGATTTACCGTAATCCTATGTCAAAAAGGACAGGCTGAACGGTTTGTTGATACGTTCAAGAGATTCTCAAAAACAAATGGACATAATACAGATGATGGTAATATGGGCAGTTTTACGCCATACAGAATAACACCAAATCCAAACGCAATTCAGGGATTTTCCACTGAACTGATTTTTCTTTGTAAATAAAATGCATTTTCTGTTCAATAGGCTGCTGCCGGAAAGTAAAGAGTTACCAGAACAAAAACGCACCAGGAAAATATGGGCCATTTCAGGCCAGGAGAACGTTTTTTTTAAATTACAAAAATGGGAAGGAATTTTGGCAAGATGATTAGCTAAAGATTGGTAAATGTTAAAGTATAAACAAAAATTCATTAAAAGACATTTTTAACCAATTAAGAAGAAACATGGAAGAAATAAATTTTTCCTGAAGAACCAATGGAGGTATTATGATTTATTTGACATACCAACTCCACCATTGCCTGAAACAGTTGTCCAAAGAAGGACAGGAAAAGAACTCAAAATTTAAATCCAGATTAAAGGAAATGATATTAATTCCTCCGAATTAATCTCAAGGGGAGGTGATACGGAAACCTAAATTCTTTTGAAGATGAACTTGTTTAAACAAAGACGTTGTGGTATGTCAGAAGACAGAGACGGACTGCGTTTAAATCCGAGATAGTTATTGACTAAGGCGAATCGGCTTTTTTACCAACCTATTAAAATGGATTTGTTATTTATCAACATCATAACAGCTCCTAAAAAAATTTACGTTAAAAATCTTTTGTTTTAAAAAATGTTCAGCATTTACCAAAAATAATGAATAGTTTATTTTATTAAAAAATATAGACAGTTATCCACCTCCCAATTTAGATAGATCTTGAATACTTTTAAAATTGGCGAGTGATGACAAATTTTTTTAGTTTATAAAAAAAAATCCCTGAAGATATTTTTTCATTAAACATTTTACAATATCAAATCAGAAAATCTTAAATTTGTCCTGAAGCCTTACAAAAATAATTCAATAAAACCCAGAAAAATAATTTTTGTCGAGAGTTGCATAATTTAATAAAATACATTAATTTATTTAAGATTTGACATGGAAAAATTTACAATGAATATTTATTTAAAAAAAAATTATTTGTAATTTGTCAATGTGATTTTGAAATTCTTCTGATTGTTCATAACAAAAAAGATATTTTTTTATTAAATAAAGATTTATTTAAATAATCGTAAAATGTAAAAGTTTTATTCCATTTTTGCATAAAAAATATTTGAATAATTTTTTTTATTCTATTTATTTTTGTCACATTTTTTTTTTGTTATTTTTTTTTTGTATGGATGTTCAAATAGGAAAAAAATTCTGAGTCACCTCCCTCTAGAAACGTTTTTCTTTCAGACTAAGGCATCTCTTCCGTTTTGGTTTTGATTGTAGGATGTTATCGTGAATTTTCACTTTTCTCCACATTTCAACCTAATGGTTACATTGTTTGTCGCTAAATAATTATTATAGGCACGACTTATGCTTTGTTTTTCTTTTCCTTTAAAGATGCGTGCGATTTCTTAAATGTCAATGAATGTGTGATTACATCTTTCTCTGGTTGATTATGTGCGCGCATTTTACATCTGTTCAAGTTGATATTCATTAAACCCTTTAAACCCATGTCAACCTTGAAATTAAATTTTAAACTCTTGTTTCGTTTCATAATCTTCCCATAATTCATATTGCAGGGGCGCTGGGAAAATTTGTTCAAGTGACGTTGGCTGCTTTAAACGCAGGGAAAGAAAGGTGGGGCGACAACAAAGTTACCCCGGAGCAATGCGCGGAGGAATGTCTTCGTCGTCCTCTTTGTACCTCGTTTGAGACGCAGGACACCAACTGTTTCATCTCGGAAACACATTCCATAGGGATGGCCAACATTAGATTCAACAGCAAACGGAATTACTTCCAGAGAATCAGACGTAATTATTTTTTGTTTTGTTATTTTTATTACTAGCATAATATCCGTAAAAAAATGACAGAATTATTTATATATAGATCGTTACTTGGCCAAGGGTCAACCGGTACCCATCCACAATCATCGTCATAGATCGAGAGGAAGCTGCACCTTAAATCATTTGCTCCCATCCTGAAAAAATGACGTTAATATTTTTTATGTGCAATTTCTCCCCTTGATTTAAATGTCACCCTCTTATTAAAAACACTCTGATGACGAGCCTGAGTTGCGGTAGCAGATCGCTGATATCTTATTAAATAGAAAACAGATGAACCTGTCACAAAAATGGATTAAGACATTTTTCTACCAATGAAGAAGACACTGAATGAAGATAAATTACTTTTGTAGACAGATAACAAGACAAAGAACAATGTTCTCTATAAAACAGTGGCTGCTGACCGCGAAATGTCAGAGAGGTTGCGAGTAGCCACGGATGACCACAGACGATCGTTAGACTGTTCACCCCCCACTTCACCTACTCCTCATCTCGACTTCGCTCGTTTGTAGTAGTAGGTTACAGCCCGAGAATAAAATCTGGTTTACTACTAGAAATTGTCATAATTTTGATTCTGATCGAAGGTTTATTTTTAAGCTACAAGTGTTTGACTAGAAGAAGCTGCAACGGACCTGGTGTCTGGTCTGAGTTGCAACGCTACACCTGTACCTCTCGCTTAATCATGTGGCTGGATTAGCTAGATTGAACAATCTTTTTTTCACGACATTATTTCTTCAAAGGCCAGCGTGCATATATGTATCGCGTTTGTTTCTATGTGAATCCTTGCTTAAAACACGATACGGCTAGCGAGGTGAACAACAGCACATGAATGGCAAACTTAAGCAATGAATGGAAAGAATGGCTGTCATGGCGTCACATTTCTATTAATATTGCTTCCGGTTGCCGTTGCTTGGTCAGGCGACCACAGTGAGGCGGCTGCTTACCGACCGATTAATCGCCTTATCACACTACCTTAATTCGTTTCTTATGCATTAGACGTCCCCTCCAAATTTTGAAGGAAGAAATCGGTACAAAAATGATTTCCTTGTACTTCATATCTCTCCCCACTATCCCCAGTTTGACTCACTGAATAGCGTATTTCAGCATGAAAAGCTGATTAATCATAACAAATTCATCACAGACCGAGAAGTACCAAGTGTATGGTAGGTATTTAGTATGTAATAATTCGAAGAGAAATTCGAGTGCGGAATACTACGGAAACCTAACCTTATTGCAGCCTGCAATACCCACGAATCACTCACCCCACGCCCTAAACTTATAACACCCGTCACCGACCTTTGCAGGGTGGTTTTTGGAGATATTTTATATGAAAGAAATGTGTCTTATCAGCAACAAAATACGTTAACTCCTGGGAACTGATCAACAAAATAGTCTTTTCTTTGGCTTTTTATTTTAGTTTTCTTTCATTTACTTTTCCCATCAGCGTTTCTGGCTAGTTTGTATTCAACCAATTAGAGAAAGTCAATCTATACATCTTGCTTTCTTTCCACGAAATTGTCAACCAACAGCTTCTTTCAAACCATGTCTGTTATCATCCGAACGGGATCCCGATATATCGTTATTTTTTTTTTTACTAATGTTCACTCTATACAATGACCAAGAGTCACTCAAGGTAGAAAGTTACCGAGCAGTAAGAATAAAAAGTAAGAAGCGCGGTTTATGAGGATATGTGGGAAGCATAACGGTTAACTCTAGACATGAAGAGCTTAAGATTGTAGTGACCGAGAAAGCATCTTTTTATGAGTCGTTTCCAGAAAGTAGCAGTAGTTGGAAGAAGCTGTTTGAGAGGAACTTCTTTATTGCTAATAGAATATGAAGGGAATGAGGGTGGTTCGCTACAATGGGCGTGGCATGGTGGGTCTTAACCGTGCTGGTTAGAATTGGTGGAACTAAGCACTGTATCTCGTCAGAAGATTTCTAATGTAAATAGCGATAGAGTAGCGAGAGGCTTTTGACTTTACGACTGCAAGAAAGGGGCTGTAGGGTGGGAAATAATCCATTAAGCACAAGGCCACGTAGAAGTTTCTAAACTCTTGATCTAAAAAGAGTTGATATCTGGTGACCTCAATATGTATTAGGCTCACCAGAAAGATGGCAGTGTAAGTTTTGTACTAGGTGTTATCGCAGAACATCTAATGACCTGGGAGCTCTGTGAGTTGAACTAGAATGTGTCCTCGTAATCACAAGGAGAAATAAAGTCTCAAATGATGTTGGTGGGTGCACCGACATAAACAACTGGACGACAGGAAGTTATATAAACACTCGAATTACAAGGGGTGAGACGGGATCTTTCATAGCCTCACAAGAAGATTGAAAGTTCGAAGAAGGACTAGAAACCACATACCATTGATTCGACTGACGGTAATTTATTAGAAGTAAATAAACAATTATTTTTCTTATGTATTTTTTTATCAGACATTACTAAACTAACATCACACCTGAAACAATAAAAAATAATAATTTAAAGAACTCTTGGCATTGATAAATAAGTATTTTCTATTTTTCTTTCAGCGAACCAAGAATTGATAATTTTGAAGAAAGTTACGATTCCTGCCGAGGATCATTTAGATCTGATGAAGAATGTAAACGTATCCGAATGTGTTGAGAAGTGCCGAGAAAATCCTCTCTGTCGGTCTTTTGAGTTTAAGAAAGGGGCACGGAAATGCGACTTGAGTAATGTGACACACCATACGCACGCCCTTCGTCCCAGCAAATGGGGGTGGGATATTTACATCTTCAACCCAGGTAAGATTTTAAGCGCTTCAGTATTCTAAATACAAATAAGTAAACATAAAATGATGACTCATAACTTGGGAATCCAAGGTGGTAAAAATTGGTTAAAATAATAATTTTCATTGAACTGATTCGTATTTAATATTGAAGCTAACCACCAAGGAGAATATTCAATGATAATTTCAATATTTGTTTGTTCATTTTAAATAAATAAACAGACCAGTCAGGGTGCATTTTTTTTTTTTCGTATTTTTTCTACTTTGGTTGCGCGATCGCGAATCCCGTGACCCATCAGGGTCGTAGGGGTACCGCTGAAGTAGAAATGGTGTTCCTTGAACTCAACCCCGGTTTGAATTCAGAGTTTTCCTTCTCCTAAACCAGTTGCCATCGAACGCTGCCCTGCTATTTTACCCATAGCAGGAGCGGGAGAAGAAGAGGATTCATATCTTTCTGATGGGCATTAGCACGAAAGTGAATGTACTGGATCCGTTTGGAATTCGAACTCGGCTCTCTATTACACCGTGCTTTGTACTTTAGCAGTAAAGACAAATTAACCGTGTTTTGCTGATGGTAAGACGCACTTTTTCCCTATAAAATATCTCCCAAAACCACTCTGCGTCCTATAAGTTGAAGGTCGGTGACGGGAGTTAAATTTTCTTCTAATTATTACATTCTAAACAGTTACCATAAATTTGGTACTTCTTGATCTGTGATTATTTTATCATGATTAGTCAGGTTGTCATGTTGAAATATGCTATTCAGTTTGTCAAATTGAGGATAGTAGGAATGGCTATGAAGTACAAAGAAAACATTTTTTTCCGATTTCTTTCTTCAAAATCTTTTTGGGACGTCTAATGCATCGGAACGTCTTAAAAGCAGCGAAAAGACAATAATTTCGATTTTAAATAAAAAGGAAATCATGCCTTTTTTTATTTAAATAAAACAGTTCAATGAATTTATATACAAAATTCAATGGAAATGCTGTGTACTTTTTGTGTTTTTCGTGTTACGCATATTCATTAACAATGCGTATACTGAAGATTGAATAATTGGAATCATTTGTTAGTTTGATAATTATATTTCAGTTGTTATCACTAATGTTGCCATCCCCCTCTTAACTTTACTATCATCATATTATAATTCTACGTGTCCCCACTTCCTTAGCGCGGATGTTACGCCCTGCCAGCACCTAAAAAATAATGGACCAGTCCGTTGTGATCACGGGAAAGACATGTCAGAAATGTCTTATGACATATCCGAAACGCTGCTTGGTTTCAGTGAGAAAAACAAAGAAAGAAACAAAGAAACAAAAAAAAAAAAAAAAAGAGAGAGGCGATAATGTATTTAACGTCTGTTTTAGTGAAATGGAAAAAATTGTTAATTTCAAATTTTTTCTACGCTCTGCCAATGCCTCGTAAATAATGAACTATTCTGTCTTGATTGAGTGGAGAGAGGGAAAAGACATTTCAGAGACGCTACTAGATTTCAGTGAAAAAAAAAATGAACGAAAAAAAAAGACAGACAAGAGAAAGAAAGAAGGGAATATAGGAGAGGCGATAACATTCTCTTGTGTTTAAGATCTGTTTCAGTGAAATGGAAAAAAGTCATCAATTTCAAATCTTTTCATTTGTACTGCCTTCTTTAAATAAAGACAAGACTTGATATTTATGATTGTTATTGCAATATTTTGTTTGTTGTTAAGCTCAAATGTTTAACGATGCCATAGGGTAATTTCTACAGATACAGTGTAACCCGGATATAAGAGAGTTGGCGGGACAGGAGAAGTCTCTTATATCCGTGTTTCTCTTATATCCGGGTTTGGTCTATTTTATATACATTAACACAGGCTCTAATTTGGGACCAGAGAAAATATCTCTTATATCCGGGTTTCTCTTATATCAGAGTCTCTTATATCCGGGTTACACTGTATTTTATTATCGTATTACTCGCCATTAACTTATTCAATCATTAATTTAATATTTTAAGATTCATCAGAAAATTCAAATAGGACAACCGTGAAATTTCGACTATTTCTAGTCATATTATAATTCTGCTTGTTCCTTTGTTACTTGGTTTGCACGGCCGTTACGCCCTGTCAATATCTCCTAAATCATTAATTATCCCGTTTTGATCGCGAGGAAAGATGGAAAAACACTTTAGTTTCAGAAAGAAAGGAGAAAAGAAAGAAAGAGAAGGTACAGAAGGTAATAAATGTCTTATATGTTCAGTGAAATGGAAAAAACTTATTTCAATTTTTTAATCTTACTTTTTTTAATGACCTGCATTCATGCTTATGATTGTTATTTCAATATTTGGTTAAACTTGTTAAGCTCAAATATTTATCGATGCAATACGGGAATTTCCACGGTTACTTTATAGTCATTGCATTCATACGGAGATTATTCAATTATTAAGATTAATCAGAAAATTCAAATAGCAAAATCGTAAAATTTTCATGGGTACATCTAGCTAACTAGCATATCATAATGTGGGTAACTGAATAATACAATGAAAAAAATCTGCCGCGTTTCGTCCCTACAAATAACTTTTTCAATGGCTTTATCAATTGTCAGACTAAATATATATAATGTGGTATGGAGAAGAAATACAACATACACCGTTTACAATTTTACATCGAGAAACGCCGAAGATACAGGAACGCTTAGCGTTATTATTTTTAATTTTAAGAAAGAAAGCGGAAAGTGAAGAAAGGAAGAAATAAGAATACTCTAGAAAAAAGAAAAGAAACATTTCTTTAAAGAAATGTTTAATTTTCGGCGTAAGACAAGTAGAGGGTGAAGAAAACGAAGGAAAGAAAGAAGCAACGAAAGAAAGAACAGAGAAGCGATTTATACCAAAAGAAAAGACGTTCCGTGAATTCGTTATTGATGGGTCTCCAGTAAAGATGGAAAGAGAAAATGAAAATGATGTAAGAGATTACACTGGTGGAAAAGAACGAGAAAGAAATATTGAAACTTAGAAGAGGGATGAAAAAGAACGAGAAACAAAAAGAAAAACGGTTTCATGTCATTGAATAGAAAAGCACTGGGTTTTACAACTCGGAGTGGCCACATCTAAGAATCGTATCACTGGAACCAATAAACACGGTCTCTGTCTTCCGAAAAAGTTATTCGAAATATACAAAATTCGACTCGGTTTATTTTTGTTTATTCCACTCTTTGGAAACCTACACACGATGCGCATAATTGCTTCGAGTTCACAACGTTAAATACACTGTCGAATCATCGTCGGATGTGCGCGTTGAGTAACGATTATTGTCGCGAAAAATAAAATCGGCATGCTAAGTTCAAATCACAGCCGAGTTAGTTGCGTTCACTTCAGCAGAAATATCCTTGGGAAAAATATGAATCCATTTCTTCTTTTCTCGAGCTGGGTTAAATTGCCTTGGTTGGCAATCAATTTAGGTGAAGAACAATTCTGAGATCAAAATCGTTTGGGCGGACGTGAGGCTGGCAACTCCACTCTTAAAAACCATAGCAGCAATACCTAAGTACTTAATGGCACTAAGGAGGAGGAGATGGAGAAGGAGAATCATCAACGTTAAAGCTATATTAGCGACCAGTAGAGGAGTAAACATCATCATCATTGCAAAGCGATGTGGAGTCCACTGCAGAGCGATAAACGAACAGAATACCGATGGTCATCACTCATCATTAATCAGAAACAGAATAAGCAGCCAATCATCATAGCCCGTCTCATCACTGAAGAAAAGAAAAAGACTCGGGGATAAGCGACAACAAGATCCTTGCTATCTTACAGAAGATCCGCATGTCTTAAAAATAAGCGTTCTAAGTCTTGTTTAGTTTTCCTTACATCGGCTCTAATACCGACCTTAATCACGGCCCTAAAATAGTATAATATTCTTTGACTGTTATGAATCTCACCTTCTGATCTAATTCTAGCAAATTATTCCGTTCTTTTTCGCTTCTAATTAAGTGGTTGTTACTGTTCTTCAATTAAAAATAAAATAAAATGTGTGATTTTTTTATTTTAAGACAGATCTTTTAATCTCGGAAGACTGACGCATCACAATCTTCCTATAAAAGATAAATATGTTCTATTGAATGTTTGGTAAAACACCAGTACTCCATAGATTTTCAGACACCCGTAAATTGACACTTAATCAGATTCTATGCAAGTCAATATTTTTTACAATAAAATTGATATCAACCAAACAAAATTGGTAAAATTTCCAGGATTTATCTATGTAAAAAAAAAAAAAAAAAAAAATTAATTTAGCTTATGATGCCTCTTGTTAAATGTGGTTAACAACTTGTTTTGGTGATGTCAGGTTTTATTATGTAAACAACATATAAATGTTTCTTTATAAATAAGTCCAAAATATATAAGTAGAATCTAAACTGAACAGAACAAATCGGCAGGGCCAGGCGGTTATTGTAATAGAGATGCTGGTAGCCTTAGACGAATTCGGTATAGACAAGATTACAGAAATAATAAATGAAATCTGCAACAGTGGTAATACACCGGATGACCTAAGTAGATCTATTTTCATATCACTGTCTAAGAAGCTAGTGTGAAAACGAATGTGAACCCCGTCGGATAATCAGCCTAATAATCCATATAACGAAACTTATCATCCGAATTCTGATGAATAGAACAGATTTAGACCGGAAATAGGACAAGAAAACTGCGGGTTCGTTAAAGACACTGAAACAAGGAACGCGATATTTATTCTCAGAATGTTATGAGAAAGAGCAATAAAAATACAGAAGGACGTGTACTCATGTTTTATAGATTACTAAAAAAAAGCGCTCGATAAAGTATGCCACAAAGATCTATTGGAAATTCTCAACAACATTGATATTTGGGAATGATATTAGAATAATGAAGAACATGTACTGGTAGCAAACCGCCTGCATCCGTTAGAGAAAATGGAAACAAATAGGAAACTTATAGGAAGAGACAATTGAGGTTTCTAGGTCACATACTGAGGAAGGAGGGCTTAGAAAGTCTGATACTCACAGGACAGATTGCAGACGAGAGAGACAGAAGAAAACAATGCATAACATACTTAGTGAGCTTGAGTAAATGGATGGCGTACCAGTATTTAGGATAAATAACAGGAAGGCAACATTTATTGAGCTACAAAGGGCAGGAAGTTGTGGAGAGCTATGATCGTTTCCGTCCTCAAGGGACACGGCATATAAAGAAGAAGAATATATATTTGATTAACACAATATCCCATATATCTGATAAATTATTATTTTCCATGTTACTATGGGCTCGTTGATATTCTATTGATCAGTCTTTGATTTATTGATTTTGCTAACTTTTCATCTGTTTTAACTTTAACATCGATAGCGGCAGATCTCTTGTTTCCCAGAGATCTTTGCTTTTCTATTCTCATAAAACTATTTTAAGGATGGACCACGAGTTTCTATTAGGCTCGAGGCTATTCCATGAATTTTGAAATCTTTTTCTGGCAAAGTAGTTAATAATCACCTTTGCAGAAAGTGAATGAACATTGTCTTGCAGGTATATAACATTTAGTTTAAAGCTTCTTGGCTGTGGACTCTTTGGCCAAAAACTTAAATTCTCTGCATTTATATTGACACCATCATCTACTTTGAAAGGACCTATATTTTTTACTTAGGTTGAGTCATTGAGTAATTTCCGTTTTGGGAAAACAATTCTAACGATGAATATATCATCCCAACTACTAACCATACGTGGCCGTTAGAAATAAATTTTGGAGTACACTAGACATACGTTAATGTTTAACGCAAAGGGTAGTGTATTGACAAGGATAAATCCCATAACCTTTACCAAAAAGAAAGGTAATGTTCTTCCTGTGATAAAATTATTATTCATTTACAATTCTTAAAGAGCAATGCAAAACTAAATACACATTTATACGTTCAGCAGCTGAAAAATGTAAATAAATGTTTATTCGAAAAGCGCCATATGCTCGTCAACAGGATACATGTTGTTATCCATGAGAATAGAAACCGCATACAGAAAGAATAACATAGGAAAAAGAATTGGAACTCGGCTGGTCTGTTCTGCTCCACTCTCCATATTCACCTGACCTTGCACTAACTGATTATTACATTTTCTCGATGCTGTAAAATGCTTTGATGAGGGAAGTTTTCTCTAATAGAAACCAAATAGATGCTTTCGCCGAAAACTTTTTTACATCTTCAATTGAGGGAATTTTATTCAAAAGAGCTGCCTGGTGAGTGGTAACAAGTCATTGCAAACAATGGCGAATATATAATTAAATAAATTGTAATTGTACGTTATTTTTTAAGAATAAAGTTGATAAACAAGAACGGAAATTATTTATGACTCAGCCTAATACGTAAGTTAGATTGTCAGAAAATGATTGGCTCTGTAAATTTATTTCATCAAAAACTGACAGTTCTAAAGAATACGCCGAATATGAAAGCATATCTTATCTCATTTCCAAGATTGTCTTCTGTATTTACAACTTGGGAAAAGAAGCTATATATGCAGTGAGATTATCTTTTCTGTTTTAATGTGTCATTCAAATGGGCCAATAGCTCACTATTGGGTTTCACAGTAAAATTTTGTTGCAATTCCAGCAATTCGTCATAAGCATTTCTCTTTGAAAGCACAAAAAGGAAGAATTTTCACATCAATGGATTTCATTTAGGTTGACTTGTTGAAAACAGTCCTGGAACTAGAAATCATTCTTGTAAATAAAATTAATTTTTCATCATTAGTGACTTCTTTTATATATCATGTCCTTTGAGGACGTGGGCGAGCATGTCTCTCTGCAACTTCCTGTCTTTGTAATTCTAAGTAACAGTTCACCATTTATCACCCTCTTGTCCTTGTTTTATCATTCATTCACTCTTGTACAAAAATGATACTTTTCTTTTGTATCTAACGAGAAAAGAAACACATGTGTATCAAAAGCTGACCAATATTTGTTCCCGTTAAGTTTACGTGGATCTAATTTTCTTGGCTTTTGAATTTTTCTTAATGCTTGTAAGTGACTTACTACATTTGACTGACCATGAAACCCGGGTTCGAATCTCACCATGGTCGATTTTTCAGGAAGGAGACTTCCTAATGTTATCGGACTGGAGGGGTAGATCCCAACGTGTGGCACCTTTGGAAAGTGCCTGAAAACCATACCACGGGTTGACCCAAGCCTTGTGGGTGAAATCGGGTAGACGAAACCCTTGAGGCCGCCGATAGCTGTTGATTACGCTAGATAACACGCTCTTTTCCAAAAACTGTAACTAAGGTCTGCTCAGCATAGTTGCAGTATAAACCACAGGTGGGCTCTGTTGGTGTTGAACAAACACAAATGTGCCTGAGCAAGAGTCTGCAATAGGGATTGGCTAGCCGACATAGTAGACGGGTATCCTCGAATACGAGTGGCCAGCTATACAATTGCAAAGACTGATTGCAAAGTAATGCTTTAAGATTTCTCTAACATTAACCAAACGATGGAACTGAGGACTTTTGCATCAACATTACATATTTACAGCATCTTATTTCAACCACAATTCATTTAAAGTTTTTTCATACACTTGCTTTTTTTTGCTTTTTTTCATTGTAGATTACAAGCCTATAAACTGCGGAAAGCCGCCAGAAATGGAATATGCGTTTGTGAAATTCACTCGTACAGATTATTTGGCTGATGCAACGTACACATGTCAAACAGGAGAAACCTATACGTTAGTGTGTAAAGAAAACAGCAAATGGAATCATCCAAATTGGGTTTGTAAGAAACCTTTGGATTGTGGTCAGCCGCCTCTTTTGGGCTTCGCCGGAGTGGATTATAAAGAAACAAGTTTCAATTCGACGGCAACGTACAAATGTCTGATGGGTGAAAAATACAAAGTTGTGTGCAAAGAAGATGGAAAATGGTCAAAACCTAGTGGTCTTTGTCGAAGTAAGTTGATTTTGGCAACAGTATTGATAAGACAATTAATTAATGTAACAGTATTGATAAGATTATTAATTAATGTAACAGTATTAATGAGACTATTTTGTATCTGCAGGGATCTGTTCCACAAAATAGCAACTCTTGGGAAGAATCTGTCCTAATGGAAATTCTTCATTTCCAATGGAATACGGGAACGAGGATGATTTAACCTTGGGCGGGTTCTATCTGTAAATGTCCGAACTAGGGAATGTAGATCGTCAGAAAATTTCTCATGGAATTAACGATAGAGTAGTGAGAGTTTTGCGACGTTGCACCTGTCTGAGAGCGATTGTAGGATGGAAATGAAATCATCGCCTACAAGGCCGTGTAAACTCCTTTGAATACTGTCGAGGCTAGAAAGAGAGGAATGGTCGTCTCCCGTCCAGATATGGTATCAATATTTTATTTTTTAGTCTGGTAAAACTTTTGTAGCGGTAGAGTATGGCAGGTGCAATCAGGTACTTTCTGGAGTTGTATAAGGAGATGATCATTTTTCCAGCATTTATAGGGTTGAATCATACATATGAATTCCACTTGAATTCTGGGATGATTTTGAGTCCTAAAAGACGCTCAAAGCAAGACGTTTCTTTAAAATTCCAACCGTTCATCATGATTGGTGAGAATTCTCTTCTCAAACTTTTTCAACCCATGGACTATTTTTTTCTTCAAAATATTCAAATGGACCACTTCTACTTTTACTTTTAGTCTGTTCCATTTTCACACTAAAATATTTAATGAAAAGACAAAGTAGTCTATTTACACTTTAAAATTTATTTTAGTAAACAAAGATAAACACAGGATATCAAAATCAATTGATATTAGCAGTTGGTTCAGACATTCTTACAACTGTTCTGAAAAAAGAATAAAAATAATAAATACTTTATTTCTATAAATTAGAAATATCAAATTTAATATCAAACAATATTGTGTAGTGATCTATTAAAATAGGAATAATTTTTCTATCAATAAAAGATTTATATTATATATAGTATATATATATATATATATATATATATATATATATATATATATATATATATATATATTTATGAATAAAAATGACAATAGGAAAACTGGTAATTGCTGACGCGTTTCGTCCAATGTGGACTTTATCAAGGCAAAATACGAAAATGAAATTAAATGAACAACGTAACTAATAAAAACAAAAACAGAATGTACCTAGCAACTGGAATGTAGAGAAACGCTATTTTCATATTTTTTAACTGAAAAATAACGTCAGTGATTGTCACGCGTTGAGAATATTGTCATTATATATGTATGTAACCATTTTCTTTTGATTTTATGAATCTGTTGTGTATATTTGTTTGTAAGAGCAGTAATTTTAAAAGAAATATATATATATATATATATATATATATATATATATATATATATATATATATATATATAAAAATACATATGATAAAATAAAATATATATATATCACTGCATAATACCTACGTAATTTCGAAATTTTCAAATATAATGGACATGTGTGTAATTAAACAAATTATATTTTTTAATTCTTCAAAGTATGAATAACTTAGATACGTTTTTGTGAAATAGTTACAATTTTTTATGGCTACGAATTCTCCGTGGACCACTAGAAATGCTATGTGGACCACCGGAGGTCCTGCTGGACCACGTTGAAAATCACTGATTTAGGGTTTAGTTGTTATTGACTCTTGATAGCTCAAACTACTCCGAGTTCATATGTTGGCTGACAAAGTTAATATGTCTAGAATTTAATGTGAATTTATTTGTTTATTTTTTGTTAATTAATGAATGTAACATGTCAGAACATTCCCTACGAAATTAGCAATAGAGTAGCAAAAGGGTTTGCGATGTTGCGTCTATAGGAAAGTGTTTTATGATGGAAAATAAATGATCACCTGCAAAGACGCGTAAGGGCTTTTGAACTCTGGAAAGAGGGGATTGGATGTAACAGCAATACTCTTTCATTTGTTTTTATCTAACTCTTGTAAAGATAGAGCATGACAGCTGCAATCGGGTACTTTCTGGGGCGGTATAAATATCCGACCACTTTTCCAGCGTCCTTAGCGATGGATCGTACGCATATATGAGTTCCACTTAAGGTCTGTAGTGAGCTTGAATTCCAAAAGACGATCAAAACAAGGAGTCTTATTGAGAGGGAAACTACTCATCGTGACTGGTGAGTATTAAGGGCCATCTCGGTGATGATGAAAAATTACTAACTAGATTGTTTTTTTTTTTTAAAGTATCGAACGTTACCAACCAGTTTTCACGCAAATCATTGGGTTTTTCGTCAGAGATGAAAACGATTTTCGCAACTAGTTAACGTTAGGGACGTGGAATGCCTTAGATTAACAATAAATTTCAATGAAGTTATATCTGAATTAATTTTTCCAGATTTAGCCAACTTCTGGAATCGTTAAAGAAGATTCCTTCAAATATTTTCATGAATCAAAATCCAATATTTTTTATCTGTTTTCTGGAAAATGAATTAATCTGAAGCCAAAATGTGAATCCGAAAGTATTCAAATCAGAATTTTGTCACTATTGATTTTTTTTGGTTTGTTTTGTTTCTCTACAGATCCTCGGTCTTGTAAAGAATTTAAAAAATGTGGCAAACATGTCCGCGACGGAGAATATTGGATATACCCAACAATTTTGAATGGAGAAAGGCTTAAAGTCTTCTGTGTAGGAATGTCTACCAATCAGCCCAAAGAATACATCACTTTGAAGAAAGAAAACTTTGCTTTTTCTTCACCATTGAAAGCGATCGGTATTTTCTGCCTGGTTAGAACATCTCTAGGTCGAGGCCGACCAGGGAAGAGCATATATAGAAAAGTACGAATTTTGCCTGAGGTAAATAAAAAAAATTCTGTTGGATATATTTTATATTTATTTGATTTGAAAGCCTAAAATTAACAAATATAGAGCAACAATACGAACAATTTGAGATTTCATAAATGCGCATGCGCAGACATAAGTATGCACGTTTGTTATGACTAAAACGAGAAAGAACATGGACGCATAAAATAAAATTTAAAAAAATTAATAGATAAGAAATAAAAAAAAATAAAACGGTAATTGGAAAAGTTCGAATCATTAAAGAATAGAAAAGTATTTATATAAAAAAATAAGAGACATTTGTTTGAATCTTTTGAGCAAATATTGGGCATGCGCGTGTGCGAACACTCACACACATATACACACACATACATTGCATTAACTTTTCAATATAGTTAAAATGATAAAACAAGTTTTCTTCTTCACATTTGTGCCAATTTTAATTTTCCGTGTAAGACGACTGTATATTCTGTGCAGGAGTTATAATCCCTGCCACCTGAAAAAAAAAAAAAAAAAAAACGATACTTCTCGGAGAGATACTCACTAATTTGGTATAAACACCTTTGTGTCTTAGTGGTATTGTCATCTTGCATGGGGTGAAATGATTAAAAGAATGGAAATATATTCTTAAAATTCATTAAGTTACAACAATTGTATAATTAACTGTTCCTTCCTGAATCCATCCACTTGAATCACAAATGTTCTTAATTTAACTCTATTTTTCTAACGTCGCCACCTAAACTCCAAAATTTCATTTACTAATTTTTTAACATAATCTTTTATTTATTTTTTTTTTTCAGTAGGGGTAGATAGGTTCGTCTATGGTCCGGTTCACACAGCTTCCCTGTCTTGTGAACAGGAATAGTGGTTTATCCCCCTTTTCTTGTTTAAAACTGGGTTTCCGCTTCCTTAAAGTCTCCTCATTCTTTTTCACTTTCAAGCAAAGCGATAATGCCACTAAGATGCAAAGTCTTAGTGGCATTATCGCTTTGCTTGTGGTGAATTGATAAAAAACAAAGATCAATTTTAATTTTTTTTAGTGTTAACCGGACATATGTCCTCTATTTTTGTCTTACAAAACATTATATTTAACAATAGCCCCACAAGGCTTTATATGTTATTAAATTAACCAAGCTAACTTCAGTCTCAACAAGTATTTTTTTTTTTTTTAAACAGAAAAAGTTTAAATCTAATTTCAGATCTTTAGAATCTCGAATATAATAAATTACACAGGTTCAAAAAAAAAAAAAAATTGAAATGGTGTTGAGAAACCAAACATCATTTTTAGCAAATTTGAGGGCCGCTGAATCTGAAAATTACCTTACTTTTTCACGGTTAGCTACTGTTTTTGCTGTACAGAAATACCTCACTTTTGGAAAAAAAGAATTTTTTCATTTGTTTTCTGTATATATGATACTGACTGATGGCAATATTTTTCAAAATAAAATTATAGAAACCTCTCAATTCGTATTTAAACCAAAAAATATTTTTTGCAATAACAATCAGTATTTAAAAATAACACGATTGAATAGACCAACAAGTATTTTCATTAAATCATTTAATAAATTAACAGCAGGAATAACACCCTCGTGAAAATAAGAACTATGGCAAAAATTTTCTCTTTCTTGATTGTCATGTTCAATGTTATTTAAGTCCCTTTTGATATTCCAGCATTATCATGTACAATGGAATTGGTGCATTCAATTGGGATGTCTTTAGTTGGAGTTTCTTTTCAACTGTGAAAACAAAATGCTCTCAATGTGCTTGGTTTCCTTCCGTAGTGAAGGAATAAAAGTGATGGGATAAATTTATGAATATCAAACAGAAGATTTTAGGGGTTCATTTTTTTTTATGTCACCTTAATTATCAGGTTTACTAAAGTGTATTACTGATAAAATTTATCAGTTAATTTGAATTTTGGCGATAAATTGGAAAAATTCGGTACATCTATTTTAAAATTTTTAACTCAAAAACATTTTTTCTTATAAAAATAGTTTATTTCAAGTGGCTGACATAAATTACTCGGCCTACCTGAAAATTGATGGGTTCTACGGCCTTTATTAACTAAATTTTGCGATCAGCCAAGATCGTAAATTGATCTTTTTTCAAAAAATGAGCAATTACAGTACAGCAAAAATGTTAGCTAACCATGAAAAACTAAGGTCATTTTCGGAATCAGCACAATCAATTTAGCTAAAAAACGTGTTTTGTTTCTTGGCACCAAAAATCGTGTTGACCAATGTTATATTGGACATATATTTGTATACTTGTGTATTTACTATCGTAACAACAAAAATGTAGTGCTTTTTGTTTACGCAATATCGTTAAAATTTTCAAGCTTGTAGAATAAATTAATTTCCGGTAAAATTATTGTAGAAATCAAATAATTAAGATTATTACTAGCTAACAATAACAAATATATTAGCGTAAAACATTGTCGTTCAGTTGTCGTAATATAACTGTAGATTTGTGTGTCAAGAGCTTTGTGGGTCAAATTGATTACTTGAAATACAAAAGAAGAGTAGAAGTTTGTTTCGGCTTCACGTTGCTTATTTTAACGGCCATTTTGCTATTTACTATAAAAAGTTGGAATACAAAACAAGAGTCGCATGGGATTCATCAAGAAAATACTTGATGGGGTTTGAATTGAATGTCAATAAGGAACTTTTCTTCTAAGAGAAGTTGTTCTGTGGTGAACCCCAACATGTACTGGGATCAGTATAAGAGATATTAAAGTAAACTTTGCGCTCAGTGTCACTCCAGAGCCTCAGAGTGACCAGGTGCATTAGAAGGTTGACCTGGAAGGTAACCTCATAACCAGTAGCGTAGATTCGCGCCTCACAGGATGTTAGTGGCTACTCTCAACATGTAAAGAGATAGTCAACACAATTGTGCTTAGAATAGGAACTACCTCGTCTGGGAGGAAAAAGAGAAGAGTCTCTGAAATCTTTGTGAGAAAAACATCCCCTAAAGTCACACGTCTTCACACCGATATTAACTGACAAAGTACAGAAGTGAATAAACAATAATTTTACGCCACGGACAATTATTTTTATTATTATTCTTATTATCGTTAATCTTTATATAACTGAATGTTACAAGCCTTTGTAATCTTTATAACTTAATATTACGAGTGTTTATATAACTTAATATTACGAGCCTTTGTAATTTTTCTATCATTTAATATTACGAATTTTTATAATGTTGATATATTACGAGTCATTGTGATCTTATATAACTTAATATTATGTGTCTTTATAATCTTGATATAATATTACGAGTCTTTATATAACTTAATATTACGAATGTTAGTAATCTTTATATAATTCAATATTGCTATATTACTATAATATTTTAATCTTTATATACCTTTACGAGTTTTATGTTACGAGGCTTTGTATAACAATATTACATATCTTTATATAAGCTTTATATAATTTAATGTTATGAATCTTTGTGATCTTTACATAACTTAATCTTACGTGTCTTTATAATCGGCACGTCTCAATTCTTGACGCTTTATTCTTTTTCTTATTTACTATTTTACTATTTGCAGACAATGGTTTTGGATATAAGCGACTTCAAATATGTCAGTTTGATAGATGGATATGGTAGGTTCAAACATGATTTTGCTACGGCTGAGGATTGTCTGTTCAGGTCCGACAATAGATGCAACAGCCAAGGGGCCTTCAAAGTCGATTTAAAAGGCACGGGACTCGCCATTGACAAATCAGTAAATCTTTATTATTATTATTATTATTATTATTTCCTTTGATTTCTGTTGTGTACTCTTTCATTCCACGTCTCAACAAGGGACTTGCGTCAGAATTGTCATATTGACATTTTCCACTGAGCATTTTTGTAATATATATGTATACAATCTAAGATCACACAAATTTCACATAGATAAAGCCCTTCGTAGAGTGTGAGTTGTACGACCTCCGTTCACTGGCTACACACTCTTTAATGCCGATAAGGATATTTGTAGGGCCAAGAACGCATACTTCTGAAGCAATGGAATACTAGGCTTCATTCCGATTTTCTCAATGTAGGACGAAGTTCGGTGTTATAGACCCCAACGCCCAATGATAAATGGGACAATATCGGTCTGAACGTTCTAAATTTTGGCAACTTTAATTTGAAGTTTGGTGTATTTCTTAAGCATGTCAATTTCTTTGAACTTGATATTATGGTCGCCAGGAACAGCCACGTCGATGAGGAGGCATTTTCTTGTTTCTTTGTCAAAGCAGTGATGCATGGTTTCGTGGTCTCAAAGTCTGTTTGAATGTTGAAATCTCTTTTTTCTTTTTTTTTTTTTTTCGTGGTATGTACAATCTTATCACCTTTACATTTTCTTGCAAGGAACTATTCTCAAACAGAGTTCGAGTCTTTCCATCCAGAGTATTTAACTTCTGTCTTGTTTTTTTTAAATTATTATTATTACAGTTAAGAGAAGAGCGCGATTTAAGAATAGAAAAAGAAAAGAAAAACATCGTGTCTGACAGTATTAAAGAAATTTTGACATTTTAACATTGTGTTTTAATCTTTTCTTAAATCGTGCTTTTTTATTAAGTGTTGAAAAATATTGGAAGAGTTAAATCAATCATTTTATTGGTTATTATTATTATTATTGTTTTATTTCCTTTAATTTCTGGTGGATACATATTTCTTTCCGCCCCGCCCAGAGACCTAAAGTCAGAAATGGCATCATGACATTTTCCACTGAGCAATTAAAAACACACACACACGTTTTACATATATAAAGCCCTTCGTAAGATGTGGGCTGTACTCGTGAGAACATTTTTTTTTGTATTTCTTTATGGCATGGGCTACAAGGATTCCTTTCAATGAGTCTATCAATGAATCTTTTCCAATCAATCCGAGGGCTCCAACTACAACAGGGATTGCTGATGTTCGCATGTGCCACATTTTTGAGATTTCAATTTCAAGGCCCTTGAATTTTGATAGCTTTTTGAAGATCCTCAAAGATACATTGCAGTCTGCAGGGACTGTCATATCAATAAGGAAGTATTTTCTTTTGTTTCCGGTCTGTAATAACGATATTATGGAGATTAGCTTTGATTATTCCTTGTGTATTGTGTAATCCCATAAAATTGTTACAGGTCCTATCTTCGTAATCGGGTTTGGGTGGTGTTCATACCAATTTCTTTCAGTTTCCTTTCCTCAGAAGTTGCAGATTTTCAAGTGCAGATATTGGTCCACTCTGTGATGCCGTGTTTTACATTCAATGGCGGTGGGGTAATGGCTCGGGTTGTGGAATCGGAGAGCCGAGTTCGAATTCCACTCGAATCCATTACATTCACTTACGTGCTAATACCCTTGGTATGTATCTTCTTCTTCTAGCTATGGGTTAATAGCAAAAGAGACCGATTTCTGTAGCCTTGGATGGCAACTGGTCTACCGCAGAAAGAAATGGTAACCTACTGCGGGAAAAAAAATCTGCCTCGTCAGTCATGTATCGAAAGATACATAATCGCCTAAGCGTGTATCACGCATGGCACATAACTGACTGGGTGCCAATATCGTGCAACCTGATACAAGATGATTAATTGTTTCTGCATATTTATCACAGAATCTGCATTTTGGGCTAACACCATATTTTAGTATGTGTGGTTGATAATTTCTAGTTAACAAGTACTGGTTTTGTTCAGCAAGGATAAAACCTTCGGTTTCAGCTTTTAACCCTGTACTACGTAGCCACTGATGGGTACGTGGTTTGTCTGCATCAGTTTGTTTGCTCCGGGCAGAGTATTGACTTTGAAGCAGTTTATCTTGTCATCGTTTCTGTATCTGGTTGGTTGCATTTGCTTTTGCTTTCTTTTTTAAGTATTTTGCCCTTTCAGTCGGTGTATTGTGCTTTACTTGTATTTATACACCCATTTGAAACACCATTTTGAACTTGTTGGCTTCCTTTATCACGGAATAAAGTCGCTTACTACTCTCATGTTCTTTGACACATACCATCATCCGGTTTTCTGTAGTTTTCAGGTATCTTTGAAGGCCAATTGTTGTAATTTTGTAAGACTGTTCTAGTTGAACTAATCCTCTGCCTCTTTCGGATCTGTGCACATACAGACGATCAATATCAGCTTTGGGATGATGCATGCGGTAGCAAGTGAGAAATTTTCTCCTTTTGGCGTTCATTCGCTTAATGTCAGCTATGGTCCAGTTAAGGATATTGAGACTTTATTGCACCACAGGGACAGCCAAGGTATTTATGACTGATATTCTGTTTTTTTTTTTTTTAATTCAACTCAGTATTCAGTACTCGACGGACACGACTGTAATACCCCTTACTTACCTTCTTCATTTGGGTATACTGTATACCATCTTCTTCGCTAATTCTTAAGTACTTCTAGGCTTTATCTTGTTCCAGTTCCCTGATCTTTGTGACAAAATCTAAATCTATTGAGTGCGTCTCTGTAATTCTCCCTTTCTTGAATGTTACTTTTGCATCTTTATCTAATCCGACATCCATACCTATGTCGTCACTGAAACTGCTAGCACAGAGGAGACTTTGTATAATTTCAAAGTCTTAAGGATATTATTATTATTCACTCATTGAGACAGATAAAGTGACAACTAGTGATTTCAATAGCCCAACATTATTCTTATTAGTTTAGATATTTCCGTAATTATGTAGTCTGCGTTGTCACGACTCTTTCAATGACTTTTAGTTTCTTTAGGATTTTTCATATGATTCTCGGGTTCTTTCCCAGCATCGTATAACGATTAACACAACTGCCAACTTCATGCTCAAAAACTTCCCCGGGAAGTTTGAGAAGGACAAGCTATTTTTCTACTTTTCAATATTAATATTATTATTATTGTTATTATTGTTTATCGCTTGTTATCGCCGGAGATTGAGTGACAACAAGTCTTCTCCGATATGCAGCTCCGATGTGCCAATTCCAATACTGCTGTTGTTTGGACAATTTCAATCGACTGTTTATTTCCTCCAGTTCCGCTTGTAGATTCATTTGCCAGTGGAACAATTATGGTTACGATCATAACGATTCATAATGTTTTCAGTTCTCTAGCAATGTCTTAATAATTTCTAATTTCCCTTGATTTCAGTCTCTTGCACTAGCTATACCCTAAATGACATAACCCTTTCTTTGTTCACAAAACTCGAATACTACCTTCTGGCTGGGATGAGGTGCTTGAGTTGAATTTCAAAGTTCCAGAATATTTTTACTTTTATCACTGTTTGCCATGTTTTATTTATATTTTAACTAATATCTTCATCTTTGTTGTTGTTGTTGTTTTTTCTTAGGAATTCACCCCAAGCACGCAAGGGGTTACAGAGAGTAAGAGCAAGAGTAAAGAGGGGGTGTTTGAGGAAAGGATATAGAGAAGGACGAGGATCAGTATCAAGTCATCAGAAGATGTCGACTGACATTACATTTGAATATTTGAAGATTATAGCTATCAGTGAAGCAAGTAAGAGGAAGAGAGTTCCACACTCATGAAGTGCGAGAGAAGAAGCTGTTGGAGTAGAAGAGGTGTTAATATTTTACTGTTTCGACAGTAAAAGGGTGGGACTCTGATGCCAACCTTGTAGTACACTTAAGTTCATACAGTTGGGGTACCAGTGAAAGTAGCTCGTCAGTGCAGTTGCCATGAAAATATTTGTAGAAAGGGCATAGGGAAACCACATTACATCTGTGAGAAAGTGACTGTAGTCGCGATGCCAGTGTTATCACAATGTTTCGGCCATTGTTTCCCCGAACCTTTTATTTAATCTCCGCGTGGATTAAAGTGTTGGGGAATGAATTTGGTGACATAGTAATTGTGAGTTCAATCCCTGGTTGGGGATAGTACAGATTTAGACAATAGTGGAAAGAGAGCGAGTAGAATAGGACTAAAAAAAGAGAACAAGACATGATGTCCTTGAACATGAGCAGCGGAACAAAAACAATCTACCACCGTAGATTAAATAAATATCCGTCAGCACACAAAGAAAAAAAAATACAACTATCAAAATAAGATAAAGATTAGATTAGTAGATAATAGCAAAATACTACACAGTACCCAATGTAAGGAAAGTCTCAATAACCTAGACGTTATTATTGTACAAAAGAAACAATGCACAGTAAATAAAATATCTTTTACCACAAGAAAGGATATCTTGAAATGTATTTAAAATATTCAATATGTTTAATTAATACGCATAATAATAGATACATGCTTTTTGGGTGCGGTCTCTCTCGCATTAACCGTTACATATGACGTCACTTTGAACTGATTCAAACATTCAGCGTTGTAAAAAACAAATCAGGATGTAGCCAACAGAATCTTGTCTACTATATTGACTACGCATGGTTCTTGATGCAGTTGACTAAGATAGTTGAAAGTACTTGAAAAAAGAAAAAAAAAGACAAGCATGAATTTTGGCAAATTTATCTAAAATTTCTATTCTGATATACAAAATTGTAAAAATACGATTAAAAAATTAAAGAAATAGAGTTTGTCGGTTGAATTTAATAAAACTTATATATATATATATATATATATGTGTGTGTGTGTGTGTGTGTGTGTGTGTGTGCGCGTGTGTGTATTGTTGATACCTCCTGAAGAGTGGACGAAAAGGCCTGTCTACGAAACTCTGGAGTCAGGATGCTGAAGGTAACATCAATCAGCTAAGTGGCAATTTTACTCACGTTTATCCTATATATATATATATATTCTTAATGAATTTAACTTTTATCT